AAGCAGCCGTGCTACCTCCACTTGAGCGGCCAGACCCAGACGTTCTTGCGAATCGTACTGCAGGCTATCAGAGATTGGATCAAGGAGAAGGAGGAGTCCGGCGTCGACGTCAGCAAGTGGCTCAAAATCAAGCTCGGGTGCGCCTTCTCCGACATTCTGCGGAACGGGGCCTCCACCATGCGCCAGGTTCAGATGTCTCTGAGCAAGGCCAGCCAGGGCGCGGCGCCGCGTCACTGCATACTCCCAATGGAATTTATGGCGGGCTTGCACACATATTTTCGAGAACTGGAACTTCACGCTGGTTTCTACCGCTACATCAGGTCCGCGGAAGCGACGCTGCCGCCGCATGCTCGGGAGAGCGCGCTCTCCGAGGCGTTCGAGCGGGCCCCAGGGCCGCCGCGGGCCGACGTCGGCCTGTCCGACGAGTGCAAAATGAAGCGGGACCTGATCCTGGTCGGAAAAGGGCTGGGGGAGGGCTTTAGCTCCACGGAGGTATACCGCAAGGTGCGCGACCGCTATCGAAACGTCAGTGAGGCCGGAGTGAAGATGACCGAGGCGGCCGAGGTGATGGCGCAGAACACCATCTTGCTGAAGGTGGCCAAGCCGGCCGGGAAGAACACGCGCGGCCCCTCCAAGCAGCATTACAAGCTCAACACCTGGGAGGACGTATCTTCCGAGGGCCGCAAGGTGCTGGGGATTCAAGCGTACTTCCCCTTGCCCATTATATTTATATGTGCCGCCCTCGTCTCCTCCCTCCTCCTCCTCCTCCTCCTCCTCTTCTTTTTGGTAGCCCCGACAGAAGCCGCGTAGGGTAGAGCTTGCCGGGTCGAGGCAAAACAAAAACAATGCGAGGCAGAGCAAGGCCATGCATAACATTTGGTGCGGGCAGGGCCAGGAAGGCGGAATCCTTTGCAAATCAACCGTTTTGTGTTGAACTTCCCCCTCGCCCTCCCGGGCCCGCCTTCCGCGGTCGACATGGCTTTCGATTCTGCGTCGACGTCCGCCCAAGGTGCTCGAGGCTCTGAAGCTAAACCGGGACTCGTTCCTCTGAAGGTAGCCGGACAGGATCTCCATCACTTCGACTGGGCGCTGGTAGGGGCCAGCGTTTCAATGACACGGGCGCAGTTTAGGTTGTCTTGAAGAATGAACCAGGGGCGGTCGATTCGGGGCGCGGCCGCCTGCGATCTTGGCTCGGCCATATTTTCACCTTCGCTGCCTTAAGCATGCTGTGTCTTTCCTGGCCGGGGGCGGATGGATTGCATTCTCAGCGCAATTTGTATGTATGTTCCCCCTTCCCCTTCTCCTCCTTCCCCTCTTTTGCGGCTGCTTGATTTGTGCCGGAGTGGGTAAAGTCAGGCACGCAACCTAATACTTGCCAGCACCTGTGTTCGTCCCCCTCCCCCCTCCTCCCCCTCGTCTCTCCCCCCCCTCCCCATTCCTTTCCTGCTCTTGTGGCGGTTCCTGCAAATGGGCATTCCTGTGCACCGATTCCGTGCTACACGCATGCGCGTCGCTTCCACAGTCCAGGGTTTTTGTTTCGGGCCTGGCAGGTTGCGTGAATTTGCGTACGCTCGGCTGCCAGCAGGCCGACACTCGAGACATCGATTGGTTGGTGCTTCGCGCGTTCCCTGCCCTTCAGTTCCCCCCCTTTCCCATGACCTGTCCTTCATGGCGAGTTGGCAGGACGACGAAGACGACGGCGATGGCGACGATGATGTTCATGATGGCGATGATGACGATGATGACGATTGCGACGATGGGGACGATACCGACGTTGACGATAACGATAATGATGATGACGATGATGACGATGTTGATGATGATGACGGCGACGCTGATGACGATGACTATGACGATGGTGATGACGACGACGGCGACGATGGTGATGACAATGATGACGATGACGATGATGGCGATGATACCGACGGCGGTGCTGATGGTGATGATTGCGATGATGGTGATGATGATGATGACAATGCCGACGACGATGTTGACGACGACCACGGTGACGGTCAAGATGATGGTGATGGTGTTGTTGACGATTACGACAATGCTGGTGACGACGATGACGATGACGATGACAAGGGAAACTCTATATAACAAGCAACGTTCATCGGAAGTGAGAGGGTGAGATCGAAGTGGAACGGAGAGCCCCCCTACCGGGAAATCGATTTTGGTTTCGTGTTCGTGCGTGCCGTGCGTGCGGGCGAGGCGACGCTGCGTGGGCGGGCGAGAGGAAAGTCTCCTGTGGCTGAGGCGCGGCCGGACCAAATGATACTCCACCGGGCGGCCGGTGGTGCGCGGTGTCCCGCCGCTGTCCCGGTGGTGTCCTCTATGGCTGAGGCGCGGCCGGACCAAATGATTCTCCACCGGGCGGCCGGTGGCGCGCGGTGTCCCGCCGGTGTCCCGCCGGTGTCCCGTCGGTGTCCCGTCGGTGTCCCGATCATGATGATGATGATGATGATGATGATGATGATGATGATGATGATGATGATGATGATGATGATGATGGTGATGATGATGATGGTAATGATGATGATGATGATGATATGATGATGATGATGTTGATGATGGCGATGATCATGATGATGATGTTTGATGATGTTGATGTTGATGATGATGATGATGATGACGTCGATTGCGAGATCGATTGTGATCGGTAGTGAGACCGAATGTGAGACCGAATGTGAGATCGATTGTGAGATCGATTGTGAGATCGATTGTGAGATCGATTGTGAAACCGAATGTGAGATTGATTGTGAGATCGATTGCGGGATCGATAGTGAGATCGATAGTGAGACCGAATCGGAAATCGATAGTGAGATCCATAGTGAGATCGATAGTGAGATCGATCGTCAGATCGATTGTGAGATCGATCGAATGAGATCGAGAGTGATATCGATAGTGAGACCGATAGTGAGACCGAATGTGGGATCGATTGTGATATCGATGGTGATGTCGATAGTCAAATCGATAGGGAGACCGAATGTGAGATTGATTGTGAGATCGATTGTGAGATCGATAGTGCGATCGATAGTGAGACCGAATGTAAGATCGATTGTGAGATCGATTGTGATATCGATAGTGAGATCGATGGTGAGACCGATTTTGAGATCGATTGTGAGATCTATAGTGAGATCGATAGTGAGACCGAATGTCAGATCGATTGTGATATCGATAGTGAAATCGATAGTGAGACCGAATGGGAGATCGATAGTGAGATCGATTTTGAGACCGAATGTGAGATCGATTGTGAGATCGATTGTGATATCGATAGTGAGATCGATAGTGAGACCGAATGTGAGATCGATAGTGAGATCGATAGTGAGATCGATAGTGAGACCGAATGTGAGATCGATTGTGATATCGATAGTGAAATCGATAGTGAGACCGAATGGGAGAGCGATAGTGAGATCGATAGTGAGACCGAATGTGAGATCGATAGTGAGATCGATAGTGATATCGAGAGTGAGATCGATCGAGTGCGACGTTGGTCCCTCCCCCCCCCTCACCTCCTTATCACCCGAAGGGTGGTCGTATAGGTACAACATTTCCTTTTTAAGGTTTTCCACGAGGAGGCGGAGGAGCAGGAAATGGAGGAGCAGGAGTAGGAGGAGGAGGAGGACGCGGGTGATGGTGACGATGATGACGAAGATGAGTTGGCAGGACGAACCCGACCTGGAGGCGAGGATCGAGGACCGAGGTTCCAGGTTCGAATGCCTGCACTCCGATTCAGACTGACTGCGTCATGCCTTAACTCGGGTAGCTGAGGGAAACTGAGGGTAACTAGGTGTAACTAGGTGTAACTAGGTGTAACTAGGTGTAACTGGGTGTAACTAGGTGTAACTAGGTGTAACTAGGTGTAACTGGGTGTAACTAGGTGTAACTAGGTGTAACTAGGTGTAACTGGGTGTAACTAGGTGTAACTAGGTGTAACTAGGTGTAACTAGGTGTAGCCGAAAGCGCTCTCATGGCGTTTGCTGCGACGCTTGTTGCCGGGACACTGCAGACATCTTTAAATTTGAATGTATAGATCAGCCTCTCACCAATATGTAATTTTCAGTTTTGATAGCTCTCTGTACCTCGGCTTAAGTTAAAGACTTGCAGCTGTTTCTTCGACTCAAGGCGTGCAGCCGTTTTTTTTTTCAGCCACAAAGAAGACACGACAATACTCACAAAACAAGACAAGACAAGATAGCGCAAGACGAGACATGATGAGACACGCCGATACACAATCCGACCAAGACAGCACACGTCACGGCAAGACAATGTGAGACAAGACAAGACAAGACAATATAAGCCAAGACAAGACCAGACAAGGCAAGACAATACGCGGCAAGACGGGACAAGCCAAGACAAGACAAGGCGCGGCACGATAAGGCAATACAAGGCAAGAAACTACAAGGCAAGACAGGGCAATACAGGGCAAGACAAGGCAAGGCAGGACAGGGCAATACAGTACATGACAAGCAAGGACAAGGCATGACAAGACAAGATAAAACCTCGCAAGGCAAGACAAGTAAGGCAAGAAAGCCAGGCAGGTCGAGACAATACAAGACACGCCAAGACAAGACAAGACAACATAACACAAGGCAAGAAGACCAAATCAAATGCAATGCAAAACAAAACCAGCAAGACAAGTCAAGACAGTCAAGGCGCAACAAGACACCACAAGACCAGACAAGACAGGAGAAGACAAGGCAAGGCACAACACGGCACACTTCGAGAGGATACGAAGCGGGACAAGTCAAGCCGAGACAAGACGAGACGAAACAAGATACAAAAGAATACATAAGGGGCAATGGCATTACAAGAGACATGAGACTCGAGGCACGTCAAGACAACACATGACAAGGCAAGACGCAGCAGTCAAAATACGAGACAGGACGAGACGAGACGAGACAATACGAGACGAGACAAGACAAGACAAGACAAGACAATACAATGCAGGAAGGGATAAGACAAGACAAGGCAACACAACACAAAACATTTTGGCGCAAGCGGTATTGGCTCAAGGCATTCGGGCCCAAGCGGTGTTTCTTCATTTTCAGCCATGGGCGCTGGGGGCTTGATCGGCTCTGCCACTGCCAATAACCAAGCCTCTCTTATCGATAAGATGGTGGTCTGGACTGGCGACGCAGTGGTAAAAAAACAACTTGAAGGTGAACTTCTCCCCGCAATGCGACAGTTCAGGGGTGATGTGCATTCCTGCGACATGTTTTGCAGGCATCTTCGCTTGCTTCTGCATTCCGAAGACGAGTGTCATTGTGACTGTTGGGACAGGGTTTGGTGCCTGGCGCTACAACGAGCTGCGCAAGGACACGCTGAAGTGCCAGCCTTTGCAGTCAAGCGTGAAGAGGGAGCTGAAAGCCAAATGGACACGCGAAGCCCATGAGGAGGACCCTCCTGACGAGCTCTACTACCGCATGTACATCCAGCTCTTCAATGCGAAGACGTCCCTGTACTTGACAATTGATTCTCCGGAAAAGCGCAACCGGGTTGGGGTTGATGGTGAGCTTCCGTGTGTACAGGAAAGGCTTAGTTATGATATTCCAACTTTACATTATGACTTTCCAACTTTGCACTCTGTGCGAGGAGGAGGAGGAGGAGGAGGCGATGGAGAAGGGAGGGAAGGAGGAGGAGGGAACAAGGAGAGGAAGGAGGAGGAGAGGAGAGGAGAGGGGGAGAGGGGGAGGAGGATAAGTGAATTGTGAGGCAGTCTCAGGCAACCACGCCCTATACAAGTGATTTGGAGCCTCTTCTTCTTACAAGAGGTTACACACAGTGCACACGATCCAGGCCATCTCTATAGCTTCTCGCATTATTTTGCAACCCTATTTGTGGCTTGTAGTGGCTGCAGGCGCTACTTTACATTAAAACAGGTGGGTCGCTAGACTACTTGTAACCAGCGCGTTTCCACTCTCTTCCTTGTTTCCCAACCTTTTCCCAAGTTTTCGGGTCTTCAGAATCGCAAGCATGATGGACCCACGAACCTGGAAAGGGATATAGACATGTGCAGGTTGGTCAAGTTTTCACGATATCCAAGTGGGCGACACATCACGAAACATCCCACGAGACACCCCGCGAAACATCCCAGGAGACACCTCACGAAACAACCCACGAGACACCTCACGAAACATTCCACGAGCACCCCGTGAAACATTCCACGAGACACCCCACGAACAGGCAACCACTCAACCAGACACCCCACGAAACATTCCACGGGGGTGCGACTGGGTGTGGTCGTGCTGGGGTGTGGTCGTGCTGGAGTATGGTCGTGTTGGGGTGTGGTCGTGCTGGGGTGTGGTCGTGCTGGGTGGTCGTGCTGGGGGTGTCGTGGGGGTGGTCGTGCTGGGGCGTGGTCGTGCTGGGGCGTGGTCGTGCTGGGCGTGGTCGTGCTGGGGCGTGGTCGTGCTGGGGTGTGGTCGTGCTGTGGTGAGGTCGTGCTGGGGTGCGGTCGTGCTGGGGTGTGGTCTTGCTGGGGTGGGTCGTGCTGGGGTGTGGTCGTGCTGTGGTCGTGCTGGGGTGTGGTCGTTCGTGCTGGGTGGTCGTGCTGGGGTGTGGTCGTGCTGGGGTGTGGTCGTGCTGGGGTGTGGTCGTGCTAGGGTGGGGTCGTGCTGGGGTGGGGTCGTGCTGGGGTGTGGTCGTGCTGGGGTGTGGTCGTGCTGGGGTGTGGGTGCGGGGCGTGGTCGTGCTGGGGTGGGGGTCGTGCTGGGGTGGGTCGTGCTGGGGTGTGGTCGTGCTGGGTGGTCCGCACCCTGTGATTTATCGATCGTCGTGCGTGCTGGAGTGTGGTCGTGCTGGGGTGTGGTCGTGCTGGGGTGTGGTCGTGCTGGGGTGTGGTCGTGCTGGGGCGTGGTCGTGCTGGGGCGTGGTCGTGCTGGGGTGTGGTCGTGCTGGGATGTGGTCGTGCTGAGGTGGCCCGCACCCTGTGATTTATCGATCGGGATTTCAAAAACAAGCGTTTCGCCTGAGACATCCTCAAAGTTTAATCCGCCGGCCTCCTTCGACCTCGATATTTATCAGGGAAAGAATCCGCCAGCCCCCTTCAAGTTGGGCACGGGGGGACATTGTTTACATACAAAAAGAGAACCCTGGGCCTATGCCCTTTCCGGGAAAACCTTCCTCCTCTCCTCTCTCCTCCCGCCTCCGTCCTCCATCCTCCTTCCTCCCTCTTCCCTCCTCCCTCTTCTCTACCCCCTACTCCCTACACCCTCCTCCTTACCCCCATTCCCCCCCCTCGTACCTCCATCCTCCATCTCTCCCATCCCACCCCCTCCACAGTTACTTGATATGAACATTTTTCTCCCCATCCACCTCGAAGTTGATGAAGAAAGAGACCCTCGACCAACTCCGCATACAGATTTTCGCACACAGGATTTCCCATATGGTTTTCCACGTGAGGCGTTCACCTCTGCAGTTATTCCATATACCCCTCTCAGGGTCCGTTCCGCCGTCCCGATCTGTTCTAAAGGCTTCGCCACCGCTGCTGACCAACCATATATGAATACATCTCTAGACTCTTGTATGCCTCTGGGGGGCCTATGGGGGCCTTTTGGGGGCCTCTTGGAGGCCTCTTGGGGCCTCGTGGGGGCTTCTGGGGGCCTCCGGGCCCATCTTGTGGCCTTTGGGGCCGTCTTGGGCGCGTCTTGGGCCCCCCTCTTGGGGCCGTATTGGGGCTCTCTTGGGCCATCTTGGACCATATGAATACTTCTCCCCTCCCTACACTGAAACTGTTGTGTGCGTACTTGCACACGTGCATCCACACATGATGTGTGTGCTCATACTGCTACCAATCTGCACTTTCGGTCGTGAGAGCAACGTTCACAGCTGGCTCACAGGGCAACTAGCGCTGAGTGCAGCACTCGTCTTCAGAGTCGTGCTCAGAGTCAGGGAAAGGAGCACGGATCAGGCCAGAGCTAGAACTACTGCTAGGGCCGAGCACCCACCGGCGCACCGCAGACTGCTGCACGCCAAGCTCAAAGAGATCTAGGAGTGATTTTAATTGTTTAGGCTTGTGTATTCTGCACCTGCTGCGAGGATCAGGGAAGAGACAGGGGCAGATCCGAGTGAAGAGGTTGGTCAGCGGGGCCACCGCCCCCACCCCATCTCATTAATGTCCGCCCCCATCCCCCCTCTGCTGATTCTCCACAGATGCAGAACTACCAGCCAAAGCAATTATAATCATGCACAACCTGTGTCGCGAACTGGTTTCTTGTTGTGCTCCTTCGCTTCCTCTGACTCTTTCTCCTCGCGGAGGCGCTTCAGGGCTGCGGACTCGGTCTGGGCCTTTTTTTCGCTGGTACTGTCCACCTCCTGCTGTAGCGCCTTCACCAAATCCGGGCCCACGCCCTGCTCAAGCCATTCCTTCGCTTCAGCATCGCTCAGCTTCTGCATCGCTCAGCCTTGTGACTGCAGTGCTCTTCGGGACAGCGTGTGTATCTGAGAAATCTAAACCTCGCGCCTTGAGCCTGACCAGCGGAAGGGATGAGGCATGTCAGCTGTAGGCCTCAAGTAGTTCCAGGGTGAAGCAGGTGAAGTTTCATTGGCCAGAAATGCGTCGGATGGCTGTGAGGTATTTGTGTTTTGTGTGATGACTTTTCGATTGTGGACGACACATGAGCAACAGCAGTGGCTTCTCTTGCGGCTGATGCAAGAAAACTCATTGTATACGTTCTACCCAATGCACTACAACAGAATGCTTATCACCCCATTGGCACAGCCATATCCAAAATCTCAAGGTGTGTGTATGTGTGTAGTGGTTGGTGTCCCCATCTTCCCCTTCATATGTCTAGCTGGCCAGGCAAAACTCAGCACGTTGCGCTTCATGGCTCGCTTAGGCGCCTGCGCTGCTGCTGCTGCTAAAAACGAGCGCCGAGGCCGGCGGGAGCGTCACTGAGCGGACAAGCGCCACCCTCGGCGCAACAGGCATTAAGCCTTTGCGAGACCACTTCACCCCCCAAGCGACCTCAGACTCAGACGTCGCCCACGAAGAGGCTGGGAGCAAGGCTCCGAACTTAGTCTGTGGTGTTTTGCCATTCTCAGTCTGCTCTGGCTTGGCACTGCCGATCATCAACTCCTTTGGCATGCTGTATGCCACTCCACAACGCAGCTCCAAGTCGAAGCATCCCAGTGTTCCTTCGACAGCTTTCTCTACCATGTCATGGTAAGCGACAATTGCTTTGGCTGGGTTTGACACCCGAACTTCGTCAAGAACGCTTCCCACTGCAACCATATTGTTGTGGTGGATGACCTGTGACTTCTCGTTCACCAGGCGGTAGAGAATGTCTGTTGCCGGATTCATCTCCTCAATGGCGTCTTTGTTGTTTCCTTGCTGCTGCTTGCCACCAGCCACGTGCTTGAAGCGACCAGTGCCAAATAGTGCAAGAGTAGTGTGCTTCTGCAGCTCGACAACCTTGTCGCCAGGGTTGACAAGGACGATCTCGTTCTTCTTGTCGCTGAACACCTGCAACTCTAAAGCCTTGGCGCGGCCTGAACCCACAGTGCACTGAGCCAGAACTGACCCTTTAAGCTCAGCGATGGGCACGATGAGCTGCGTTGTCTCCGCCTTCACTGCATCTGGCGAGGGAGCCCTTGGCGTGGTAGGTTCCACCTTGAGCCGCTTTACCGGGGTAGCAGTGTTGTCATCTCCGTTGGGCCTCTTCAAGGACAATGTAGTTGCCGTTGACACTGGCCTCACATCTACACCGAACTTTTCCTGCACACAGTCCAACGCGTCGTTGAACAACTGCTGTATGTCAGTGTCAGCATGGTCTGACCACTCCTTGTAGATGCCCTCGATTATCTGGACCTGCTTGATGTTGGAACCCTCAGGGGCATCCTTCCATGACAAAGTCTGGAGCACTGGCTCTGGTGGGAGAGCAAGCAGCACATCTGACGGAGGCTTCTCTGCCATGGGCTTCTCACTGTTGCGACTGGTAAGCTTGCCAGCTAAGAAAAGCGCAGTGACCTCATCACTCGCGCGCTCCATTGCGCACTCTGTTTCATCAGCACTGGCGCATCGACCGCAGAAGTAGACTGGGATCTTGAACTCAGAGAACTGCTTGATGTATGCAACCAGCCCGTCCCCCGCGTGCACGTTGAGGTCATGGAAGATGATGGCAGCCGTAGTTCGAACAGCATCTGAAGGCAGTGCCAAGATGGTGCCCTGTAGGAGTGACTCGTAAGCCGGCGTGCCAATCTGCCCGAACTTCTTCCCACGGCTCATGTGCCCATACCCGCCGGGACTGTTGTCGATGGTTGCCGGGAGCGCGTCCTCAGACATGTCTTCGCATACAACCATATCTGCTGCGCTGACGTGCATCGCTGGTGGTGTCGCATTATCCTTGATGACAGGCGCGGTCTTCCACATCGATTTGTGGGCCTTCGCTGTGTATTGGGAAACCACTCGACCATGGTAGTTGAGCGGGCGCTCGTCCCTCTTGTCGTTGTGCGCTCCAAATCTCAGCTGGAAGGGCACGTCAAAAGCAAGGCGATGCTCACCCAATTGCTGCAACGCAGAAGTCTCAGT